TAAAATAACAATATTAAAAAAAAAGAAAAGAAAAGAAAAGGGTGGGCATTGGATAATTCGGTCGATCTAGGTCATTTGGTTCCTTGATAGACTTGCCTAGTTCTGTGATGGAGTAGGGCATAACAATTAAAATCAGAACAATTCCTACTTTTGACCAAGAATTTGATCAATGCGCCCCTATTCTCTATTGGAATTAGTGATTCCTTGTCAAAATTGGTGTTTCTCAAACCAAAAAAAAAGAAAAAAGAACAATAACACTATTAAAATTGACAAAAATATGAACGAAGGAAAATTGGTAGGAATTAGGCAATCTAGTTGGTCTAGATCACCCAATTCCTTGACAAATTTGCCTAATTCTCGTATACAATCAGATCAATTTGTCAAATTTCGGCTGCTTCTTGATTTTATCAAGGATGATAGGAAGCCCCTACCTATTCTTGGCTTGAATTAGCGATTTCCAATCTAGATAAGGGATTCCCAAAAAGAAATAATATATATATATATTAATTTTTTTAAAATAAAAATAAACATAAAAATAATAAAAAACAAAGTAAGTGGGAACTGAGCTATAAGACTAATCTAAATAGCCAGGTTACAAAATTGGCCCAATCTATCAAAACTGAATCGATTCAAGGTTCCGAATTCTAATTGGCTATTCACTGGTGATTCCCGAACCAAGAATACTTAAATATTATTGTTTGATTTGAAACATAAAAGATAATAAAAAAATAAAAAATAAAATGGGTGCGGACCCCTATGATTCGGCTTACATGGATTGCTCAGTTATCTGTCAGACTGCCCCACAGAATCGAGCCAATTTGTTGTAAACCAAATAGCTGCCTAGTTCTGATTAGAAATTGGGTTGGCCCCTACCTATTCCTAACCCTGACCAATAACTTAGTGAATGATTCCTATTTTGGATCGGTGCTTTTCAATCACTGCTACCATCGCAGTAAGAGTTTACACAAAAATATCTCCGGCATGAACTTAAATATTGTCTTTCTCAAATATAACACATGGTCCTTGCATTTTTTTTATGGCATGAGCCTATTCTGCAATAGGTCACTTTTTTCCCTTCTTTTCAATTTTTTTACGGTGTGATGTGTGCGCAAATACACCATATAATGAAAAGGAAATGTATAGAAATGAGATTATTTACTTTTGATACAAGGAGGTTACAAACATTATTGACCATAAGATTTGAAATATGGTTCTTCAAGATGTATCATCGTTCAGGCACAAAATCCAAAACAAATTTCTCGAATATTATGATGTTTTTTTCTTTTACGAAGAGTACCTAACTTTTATTCAATGACAGAACCTAAAAATACATAACTCAAATCAAAAAATTGTGACACATTTTTATTTATTAGATTTCACATATAACGGCTAAAAAAGTAATTGTGACATTTTTGTACAAAAAATAAATGGTCTCATAGTATACAATCCCCAATGAAAAGGATGGTCTAGGGCTTTGGCAGTCGTATTGCCGAGCCCCATGATGAGATCTTTGACTCTATTCTCACCAAAGGGTAGGGGCTCAAATCCTTACTGACTTACCACTTTTCCCACTGAATTACCCAAAAAAAAAGGATTGCGTAGGCCTCATAGGGTACGAGCTTATGTGCAAGATTTTCGTAATTTGGTTTATCCAATGAACCTATCATGAGCCGATCAAAGCCGGAAATACTAAATTGGTCGGAGGATTGTTGTACCATTTGACAGATTTTTGAAGTGCATTTTAATTCTATAATTTAAGTTGCAAACATATAAAACTTTTTCCATTTTATTTTTGATGTTGCAAGTCACTTTATTGCTAGACGTTAAGTTGCAGTGTTCCACACCGTCTATTTTAGTTGCTATTTTAGTTGGATTTATTGATTAGACCAATGGTTTAAAAATCGGATCGGTGACCCGGATCGGGCTTTTCAAAAACCGATCCGGATCGGCGAATCGGCGATCCGGATAGGAATCGGGTGAATCGGTCAGAATAAAAC